TAAAAATATTAAAGGGATAGTTCACCCAAAAATGAAAATGTGATGTTTATCTGCTTACCCCCAGGGCATCCAAGATGTAGGTGACTTTGTTTCTTCAGTAGAACACAAATTATGATTTTTAACTTTAACCGTTGCAGTCTATCAGTCGTATAATGCATGGCAATGGTAACAAAATCTATGAGAGTAAAAAAAACATGCACAGACAAATCCAAATTAAACCCGGCGGCTCGTGACGACACATTGATGTCCTAACACACGAAACGATCGGTTTGTGTACCATTGCCATGCATTATACGACTGATAGACTGCAACGGTTAAAGTTAAAAATCTTCGTTTGTGTTCTACTGAAGAAACAAAGTCACCTACATCTTGGATGCCCTGGGGGTAAGCAGATAAACATCACATTTTCATTTTTGGGTGAACTATCCCTTTAATATCTTTTCAAAAATATACAAAGAAATTGCCAAAAAATATTGATAGAAAATAAATATAATAAATATATCTTCAAATATATTTTAGCAAATACATTTTGAAATATATAAAAAAATATATATTTTAAAAAGATTTAATTTAATTTAATTGCCATATGGGCCATCATCCAGCCATAAGGATTAATGAAATTTAACAGTCAATGAAGTCATACTGTATGTAAGCTTTATGGCATCCAGCCACCTAAAATCTTTATCATAATTAGTCTTTAATAGCCTGACTCTTACTGCTTCTGCATCTCCAGCATCATTTCTCAGTTAGACACACTGCAGTTTGTAGTTTGATTGCATCAGCAATATCTCTGGACCAATATCTTTCATAATTATCAATAGATTTGTTTGCAATGAAAGGAGCGGTTGCATTATTAAATGCACAGAGTCTGGGTTACGACGAGTCATTGATTGTCTGTGCAGGAGGAGGAGGTTCCTGAGCTGGAGATCGACATCGATGAACTTCTAGAGCTGACAGATGCAGAGCAGAGATCTCGACTGCACGTACGCTCAGCTTCATCTCAATCATAACACCATACACATAACCGCTGCAGCAGAGCATCGTGTGACTGCATGCATCTATAACTTCACGACAAACATGTACAGATGTTCTACCAGCTGTTCTGTGTTTTAACAGGAGCTTTTGCAAGAATGTGGAAAGCCAAAGGAGGTAAGAGAAAACCACAAACAGCTTTCATATGCACTTATTAACAGATGAGTCATGCTTCATATTACAGTGATTATGAAGAAAATTGACCTAAATATCAGATGCACTGAAAAATATTTAGGCGTAAATGTAAGATTTATGTATTTTAATGGCATATAAAATTTCCATCTGGATTAAATGATCTTGTTTGAATATTATTATAAGTATTATATATATATATATAT